AAAGATTTTCGCAATTTACAGATTATCTATTTCAAAGATTAAGAATTCTAACTAATTCTTGAATCAAACACAACAAACAATCAAAGTAAAGGCAGTGATAGAATTAAAGAGAGAAAGGTTTAGAAAGATACAACCAAGATTTATATTGGTTCACCCAATCTCAGGGCTACGTCCAGTTTTCAGCCAAATTCCAGCTGGGTTCCACTAGATTGAACGTTTTACAGATTACAACTTCAATCACACACTCAATCTACCACAAGAACCAAAATTCCAGTCCTTGCACCTAAACCTTCACCAAGAACCAAATTTCAGTTCTTGAACAACCCTGCAGCCAAATTCCAGCTACAGAAACTAGTGCCCACACTTCCAGGCACCCACAATACAGAAAAGAAAAGTAAAGAAACAAAGAGAAGAAACTAGAACACCCAAACCAAGTTTATGCAGCTCTGCAGAATGAGTTTCTTCTCCAAAAGAATGCAAATGTTGCCTCAAGAAAGAACTTCTAAGAACTTCACAAAACTAGCGCGATTCTCTCTTGAAAGTAGCACTTATGATTGCTTGATTGATTGCCAAAAGATGATTTTCAAAAGGTTCAAGCAATTCTGTTTATATAGAAGATTTTCCAAACTACTGGTTTATTTAATATGTTAAAATAATCTTTTAATCTGTTAAAAGTCTGGTTTTAATCTGTTAAAACTTCTTTTAATCTGTTAAAATGTTCTTGATTATTTCCAGATTTGTTTTAACTGATACGACAACGTTTATATCAATTAAAACTTTTTGTAAAAAATCTTTCAAATTGTTTTAATCGATTGTTTCGTCTTTCAATCGATTAAAATACTGCTAAACATTCTCATAAAATTTTCTAAGTGATTTTAACTGATAACAATCTGTTTTAATCGATTAAAACACTTTAGAAAAAGTTCACTTAGTTATTTTAATCGATTGAAACACATTTTAATCGATTATAATTCTGCCAAAAGATTTTATAAAACTTTCCAAGTTATTTCAAATGATAGCAAACTTGTTTTAATCGATTAAAACATTCTGGAAAAACCTCTTAGTTGTTTTAACCGATTATTTCGCATTTGTATCGATTAAAATACTGACAGAACAACTTTCAAAACACTTCAAGTTATTTTAATTGATTATTTCGAGTTTGTATCGATTAAAATTCTGCGAGAACACTTTTCAAAATATTCTAAGTCATTTTAATCAATTATATCAATTCTATATCGGTTAAAATATCGTGGAAGGTTTTCAAAAATCCTTCTAATGAAAACAATCGATTATTTCGAAAACATATCGGTTAAAAATCTGTTACAAAAGTGTTAAGAACATTTTAGTTGATAAAACTCATATACAATTAGTTAAAATAGTTACTTAAAAACCTTTTAATAAAATATTTTTCTTTTAACCGTTTAAACACGTTTTAGAGGCATTTGTAAAATCTTTTAAATGAAGAAAACTTCATGCAGCAGAGAGATAAAAATGATTATACCTAAATAAAGATGCAGACTCACTAAGCACTCTACTATTTTATCTAAGTGACATTTTACTGCAACATAGTAGTCTTTGACTTCATTTTTTACTTCATCAAATCAACAAGATCTTTACTAAAATAATTCAATAAGATTTTCATCACTTTTAGTATATCTACACTTGTGACACTAATAATTAAATGTTTCACAAGTTATATTCATAATACGCAGAGGTTATTAAAATATTTAAATAATGAATTTTATATTTTAAAAGAAAGAGTAAATGAATGTAAATATATAATTATTAACTTGTGGATATGACATAGTTAAATATATTTCACAAGTGATTAATAATGTAATGAAAAAAAATGAAATGTTTAATAATAACAATAATAATAGGTAACTTTATTTCAAATAATTGAAGGTAAATTAAATATAATAGTTATCGATATCTATGCCTTCATAAGTTTTCTTTTTCATTTCCATGCACCACCAAAAGCATCATCATGGATATATCAATTTATATTTTCTTGTTCCCTTTTTCATCAAAAATATAATATGATAAATGGATAAGATTGTAAAAAGTCAATGCTAACGGCTAGTTGAAAGAAATTCCCTACCCAACCAAACCCTAATCATGTGTGAAAACATTTTTTAAACCCTTTTGCATCACATCACTTCTTGCTCTTAGTTTTCTCTATCCATTTGGGATGAGAAAATGCATCAAATTCTATTGCATGATGTTCAGAAATTAGATAAATTTTGCATGAATGTTCAATTTTAGTATAATTCACTGGCCTTAATGGAAAGATTCTCGATTTGAACCTTTCAATTTTTATATTAAAATGAGTTTTTTTTTTTTTCATGTGTAAAAATTGAATACCTAAAAAAAGATCTATAAAATAACTCGTATACCTTACTTAATTGAGTTAAACTTTCTTAACAAATATGAATATATTAAAATGACGAGGTCTTTGTTGCAACGGTACACTTTGTTCAAAAATCAGAAGTCAAAGTGACGTTTAATATTATGTTGAAGACTTCAATTTCTGAATACTTTTCACAGTTTCCGTTTGAAAAAGTGGAAAGCATGTGTAGAATTTCACACATCAACTTTCTACTTGCTACAATGTCCTGTCTTGCAACTAAAGATTTTAAATAATTTCAAATTTTCAAGTTTTATCAAAATCAATGAAATGTAAATGATTGAGTTCAATGTTTAAATATGTTTTTAGTATATCCAAATATGATTTTATCTGTATTTAAGTTATGAAAATAAAGGGTCATTTTTTTCATCTTTATTAATAATCATATTTGGGCTAAAAGTAAAAAAAAAATCACTATATGTTAATTGACAACAAATATTTTAGTTTAAGATAATTATAGTTTTTAGCGAATGAATTAATTAAATAATATATGTTATCTTTACTTTTTCATTCAACAATTTATTTTTAAATATTGTATTTTTATTTTAAATAAGTATATTTTACTTACAGCTTATAGTTTAATTTTTATATATTGATTTAGACATTATAATATTAAATAGTTGTAAAATAATTCTTTTATCATCAACATAGATGTTTTATCTAAAGATGAAAAACAATAAAATATATTTATATTTTTAGAATTAATAATTATTATGTATTAAAATCGTATTTAATATACAAATAGTGATTATTTTTTATTCTTACACAAGTGAAAATTAATATTAAATAATCAACTTTAAATATGCTTTAAATCCCTGCAAATATTAGCCTGACTTATTTTAGGCTCTGCAAATAATGTTACTTTTAAATCTTTGATAATCTGTTAGGGCATTTTTGGTCTTTATTAACTAAGTTAGTACCAGAAAAATAAAATATTAATTAAAACAATTATATTATTTTTAAGTTCATAATTCAATTAAGATATATATTTTATACTTTTTATGAATAAGATAATCATATACAGATTTTTTTTTCCATTTAGAACGTATTATAAAAAATATATTATATATTTTTAAAATAATAATATTTTTTATTTATAAAATATTATTAAAATTATTTATTATATGTATTTTTATTTTATAATTATAAATTTATCATTATACACAAAGAATAGCTAATGATAAAAATATACATTAATATATTATGAATATAATTATTTTATATTAATTTTAAATAGTGTAAAGAAAAAAAAGAAAAGGATATTAATTATTTTATTATTATTACATATAATTTTAATTCTTAATTCTTAAAATATAAAATATTTATATACTGTTGACATAAATAATAAACAGGTATAAAAGATCAAACATAGAGTGTTTGATATTCCAATTTCAACATAGGTTGTAATTGTGAAAACTGTTCAACAAGAGAAAAAAATAAGCAGCAATGACTTTTAGTATTAACTAGTATTTAGACTGTACATAATAAGTATTTTTAAATAATTAAAGTTTATAATAAATACATATTTTTAATATCTGAATTATAATATAATTAAAATTCATAATAAATATCCTTGAATATATAAATCATATTTTAAATTTCTATTGAATATTAGGTCGTGATATGCTAACAGTTTGTTTTAAAAATATTGATATTCAATTTAGAAATAAAGATAAAAAAGATGGAATAAAAAGAAGAATTGAAATGATTGAAAGTGAAAATTCTTAATTAATTACGAGGATGGTTGTAAAATACACACATCTAAAACAGAAAAATGACATCGAAAATATTTGATTGAGAAAGTATTGAAAAAAAGGAAAGAATCTTATTTTCTAAGCTAAGTTTTTAATGATTAGGGATCAGAGGAGTGGGGGAAGAGAGTGGTGGGTAAAAAGTGACAGGGGGGGCATGAGAAAGATGAAGAGATGTAAAAGACACAAGTAAAAAGAAAATCATATGCAAGGGAGAACGACAAGATGCTCAAGAGAGACATAAAAGAGGAGAGAGATACAAAATAATTGAGATGCTAAACCTTCAAAAAAGAAGTTTTTATTTTAGGAAAATGCCTTCACTATACTTGCAATTCACTGTAGATGTATGTACCAAAGAGAAAATTCAGATGGAAAGAAAAAGAAATTAAAAATTCTTTATTGAGTATATCTACTGTTAGTATTGAACACAGCAATCAATTACAATGCCTAGCAGATTCTCAAATAAATTTGTGAAACCAACTGTTTTGGTTGATGTGGTGCATAACCAACCTGCTTCACCTAATGCATTCAAGAAGGTATTATTATGGAGAGAAGTCGCCAAATTTATGAAGTTCTGCCTTTGCTGTAATGAAAAATTTGGTAACACTGTTACACCAACATGAAGACAAGCTATACAAAGCAGCCGATGCAAACATCTCATTGGAATCCAAGTCCATATAAAGTGGCACCAGGCTACAAATGCTTCCATGCCAAGACAAAATTTATAAAAAATATATAAAATGAAGCAACAAATGGAATGGAAACTTTGGTAAACAGATTTCAATGCTCATCATACTCCACCTACACCCTATTTCAGGCTAAATTTTGACATATTCCATTTGCTAGCGAGTTCCTGCTGATCGGGTTTTTCTTAGTCTGCCACGTGTAACCCGAATGCTTTCTTCCATTACGGTCTCTTTTGTAGGAGTAGGAGGATTCCCATTTTCATCTACTGAAGAGGACGAAGACGGTACTGCTGCTACTTCAATCTGTTTGGGCTCTGCCTCTGCTGGTGCAGATTGGATGCTTGTTTCAGGCGCAACATTAGACTTTTGAGTACTCAAACCAGGTCCAGCAGATTTCTGAGTACTCAAACCAGCTCCTCCAGACTTCTGCGTACTCAAACCAGCTCCCCCAGACTTCTGATTACTCAAACCGGGTCCACCAGATTTCTGACCACTTAAGCCTGCTAAAGGAGTCTTCTGGTTACTTAAACCTGTTGCAGATGTGGCTGCTTTAGGAGCTTTTGGAGAATCCAATTCCTCTGCTACTTCCCTCTGGAGTTGACTCGAAGATGTGCTAGAGGTAGGAGATGGAGGTTCCTCAACTTGTGGTTCTGTTGCAACAGCTGGTTGGCGATTTGCAGTTGCTTGTTGACGGACCCTCACACCTGGGCGTTGCTGTGGTTTCAAGAGACGATTTGTTATTTTATTAGTATGCATAAAGAACAATGAGATGGAAATGAGATAAAGCCCTCAAAGGATAATAACTCTATTCTCCTCAAACACCAAGCAACTGTCAATCTACAAATTGAAGATACAAATGGGTAATAACTGTACATAACTTTTATCAACATTATCATGGAAAAAAGAAATATTACTCACTACAATATTTTCCTCTTTCTTCAGAAAAATGAGAATAATTCTCTTCCCGCTGTACAAAATCGTTTTAACAAGTATGACATTGTTCTGACCGGTACACTTAAATGTACTTTTATGCATAAATTTTAAAAAAAATATTGTCATTAAAAACCAGAACAATTCAGGGTAGGTGGCACAATTCGATGCCACATATACGAAAGCTGATAATTGATATTCTAGTAAACTTAAGTCACACTCAATCATAATAGCAGACACAACCAGTGCATATTCATAATCAACTACCTGAGCAGGACGAGGTGCTGGAGTCGATTGTGCTGCAACAAATTGCAAAATGTCATATATTCTAGTCTGACCATAACTGAAAGCTCTTTGCCAATACAAAACTGCAATGTCCCCTGCCCTTGTCCTCAGTTCCAACAAGTTGCGATCAATTTCTGTCTCATGTTTTGCAACATATGGTCTGAAGAAGGAGTCATACACATACGTTGTTCCCTAGCACATAAATATCAAATTTTACTGTCATATTGAAGAGAAGCAAATAGAAAGTAATAGGCGATTTTCTACCATGATGAATAGTTTCATACCTTAGTTTTGGGGTACCAAAGAAATATGAAAAATGCCAACTTAGCTTCACTATACATTGGGACCCTACATGAAGAAATCAATTCAAAATTAAGAAGTCATTATATACTCTCTTTTTTAATAAGGAAAGCAGATATGGCATTCTTTGAGCACATCCAAGATAGAATCCTCTACCATGATATAAAAGTATCACCAACCCTCTCACATACTGTCAAAACAGCCACCAAAATCCTGCAACACGGGGAAAAACAAAGTTGGTATCAGTATTTGTCAGTAGAAGTTATCATGTTAAGTTTCAAACAATCAATCTATAATGTGTTTCAAACATTATTTTCCAGCAACATCTTGAAAAAGCTATTGAAAATAAAAAATGATTATTTAACTTGCCAACCGCTGAACCGAACATGGTAAATGCATACCAATACTGGCACCAAAAGCGAAGTTGTTCAATTTCCGGCTTATTCTTTTCAACCGCTTTATAGCATTCATAAGCTGGATAAGCATAGCCAAAGACCATCCTGTCAGTAAATAAAAAAGACCAAATAAAACGATTAACCTTCAACTATAACACACAAACCATTCATATCAGAAAAAAAAAAAATCTGGAAATTCGGAACATCAAAATACATACGCAAGCGCCCAGGTAAGAAAGGATCCTATCATTTTGTATCCCTGACATTGAAAAAAAGAGGTTACTCTAAACAGCACAACGTAATAACATGCAAGCAACTGAAACTGAATAACAACGATTCCAGTGCCACAGTAATTCATGTATTTCAAAACATTCTACAATTCAAATCCAAAAATCATCCAATTCCACGCTCATTAAAATTGCAACATGACAGCATCACTAATCCCCATAGCCTATTTTTCTTCACAAAATGAACATTGCAGTGTTCCTAGAACAACAATAATCTTGAGCTGTCGTACGTAGATAATGCTCATTAGTCATCGCAATACCTAACCGTGGAATGATCAGAAAAACGTGGAAGCGGAAACCGGTTAATCGAAGAACTAAGTCGAAGCAATGCGAAGTAAATTAAAGATCAGCGTCGAAGAACAAAACTCTACAACACTAGCGCATATAACAGAACCGTCCAATGCACTAAAACCGTTTGATTTAATCGGATTTGTTTTACACATTGCAAATCAACAATAAAACTAACATTTAAAATGAAAACGAAAAAGAAATACCTAGAGCTGACTGAGTGTGTTGCGGTGGAGAAAGAGAAAGACAAAAAGACAAAAAGGAAAGGATAGTGTGAATCCGAAAGGAGAGGAGTAGAAGTAAATCTGGCAGCGGAGGATGGAAGAGATCCGCGAGGGCTCCGGTAACGACCACCGCGAACCGTTACGTTGTCGGCGAGAGGTGTTGGGGGGAAGAAACAGTGTGAAGGAAGAAAAGAAAAGAAAAGAAAGAGGATTAGGATTTTGGAGTTAGAAGAGAAGAGGCGTTTTAAACGGGTTTTCTGTTCATCATATGGATGAGTGTGAGAGAGAGTGTGCGAGAGCGTAGTGTATTAAACTATAGACTATTCATGACTCACTCACTACACTACTACACTATTGTAGCTATGAGAAACGATTGTGTGCGTGGAGGTGTTGTAACCTTTGTCTGTGGCGTGATCCTCGCTCATCAATTACCCTTCATTTTCACTCTATTATTAAAAAAACCATGAACCAACATTATTTTAGTGTATGTCTACAGCGCTTTCATGGTACTTTTATTATAATTGATATCTCTTCCATTATATATCACATTTATCGTTCTGCACCCAAAATGAGATGAACGTTTTGTTCGCTCCCAAAATTCGAATGTTTTATGTTATAGTTCCAGTGAGTTTCTGATTTTCAAATTTTCTTTAGGGTTCTATTGACCATAACCAGTGCCGTTAAGTCAATTTTTTTTTTTTTGAAAGAGTGCAATGCTATGATTAAAAGTAAAATAATAATAATAATAATAATAAGCTTTTTTATTTTATATTACACGAAAAAAATGCATGTAAAACTAATTAAAATATGTATGACTTATTTTATTAAGAATTAGTTCAATTCTTTATAATTTTTTTAATATTAATTTCTCTTGTTTACTTATATTTTATTATATTTGACCTACTTCACTTAACATAGTCTAATTTATTTTGATTCAACCACACTCATAATACAAATCAACTTATTTCAATATCAACATAATTCAACTTGATTTAACTTTCTTGATCTAATACAATTTATTTTTATCAGATTTAGTCTCTCTTGATTTCACTTAACTTAATTTAGTTTGTCATAATTCATCTTAATTTAATTTTATTTATATAAATAAAGGTCAAAAGATAAGACTTAATTTATAATATAATAATGATAATTTTTATATTTAATAATAATTAAAATATTTTATCTAAAAAATATTAAATTTCAATAAATTTAAATTATCTTATCTAAATAAATAATTTTAAAAAATCAAATTTAATATATTTTAAAAAAAAGTATACAATACCTTATTTAACACAATTAAACTGTTTGGTATTCATAAATCTAGTCATTTTCAACGGGTGAGTAACGCTTTAATTTTTTTCATTTTTTTAATAAAAAAACTAATAACACTTAATTATATGTAAATGATTATAATGATTTCAAAGCACTAAATATTTTTGTCAAATAGAAGCACTACAGCCCTATTTAACTACATATTTTACTCATTTAAAAATTCTATTTTTTTAAATTAATATAATTAGTTTGATAAAGAGCTTGTTAAGAAAACAGTGGTTTAGGTAAGTTATACCTGAGTTAAAATAACAAAATAAATTAATATAAAGATTAAGTGCATATTTAGATTAAAATTGGGAAAGTAGAAGGTACTTTTTATTTGAAAGCAACGTGATTTGTTGTAAATTTCAATTCTAAACTATAACAAAAATTATTATTATTATTATTATTATAAATGTAAATTTTAAAAGAAATATATAAATTTAATTATTTTCTTTAATGATACTAATGATTATGAAGTAAATTAGAGTACAGATTTTATGAAATAACTATAAGAAGCATTTATAATAATTAATGAAAACACATCTACTTTAGTGTGATTGTCTACCTTTTTATATAATTATCTTTTTTTTCACTTATTATATTTTTAATATTTTAAATATATAAATCATAATAATTATTCTTAATTTTTTAATGAAAAAATAATTATAAAAGATAATTTTTTGTATATACATTTATCTATTTAATTTGTTTTACATGGTCAACCATTATAGCAGCATTTTTTTGCCTAAATTTTAGGAGTAATGCAATGCTGTTATAAGCAGGAAGAACAGAAATGTGAACTCTGAAGTAACACATCAACAGAAGCAACAGCAGAAAATGATAACTTTTTGTGATGATAATATAAGTTAAATCGGTGATTGATGATAAAATGTATCTTTTATTTGTTTCAAAACAACTTGCTGGGAATGAAAAATGATAAAGTAACCACTTCAAATTTCAGGTGTTTTAAAAAGAAAGTTTGGATTGTAAAAATTTCTTCGGAAAATATAAAATTATTGGAGAAACATAGCTATTACACGTAAGGTTACAATGGTGCCTTTAATATGTGATGTTGCACTATACATGCAATGTATTGGTATATGAAATAACTCTAATAAAATAAAAGCAATGATGAGTTAATTGAGATGTGATATATTAAATTTTTATTTTATATTTTTTTTAAGGTAAGGAGTAACTAATTTAAATTATCCCTATTAAAAATTTCCTTAGTTTCTTGAATTAAAAATATATTTGTATAAAAAATATACATATTATTTAAGGAAAAACCAAATTAATATAGATTAATTGAATTCTTGATTATAGGTGATATGGATTTAAGTAGATTAATCATACATTTTTTGATTTTGAGAAAATTTTTAAACATATTCAAGATTCATTAAAATTAACGAGGTCAATAAATAATATTGAAAATATATGTGTATGAATTACATATTTGTTTGTTACATGGTGTGTAACACTTTATGGATTTAACATTATTCTTTATAATAATTCTAGTTTTTTTTTTCAAAATTTGTTTTCTATCTTTTATATTTAATGGATTTTCTTTTAATTATTTTTTTTAATATTTATTAAATTTGAATTAAGGAATAACATGAATTTTTTTATTTATATTTTCTCCATAAAATGTTTATATTTTAAAAAAAGGTACCTAAGAAATTTTTTGAAATTACATTAAAAAAAATTATTTACTGACCTACGTCAATTTAATTAAATCAATCACACACGCATATATAAACTTTTCTCTCTCTATTAAACTAAACAACCTTTCACTCACTTTTTCTTTCTTTTTTTCTTTTCACTTTTCATCCTCGAAACTTAGAATATTACACGTTAAAATTAGAACGAGTCATAATTAGCATAAAAGAGTGTTACTTTACAATACTATTTTTAATTAATTTTATTATTGATATTTTAATTTATGGGATAATAAATAAAACTTATTAATTATGATTTTAAAGAAAAATAATTGGATTGTATAATGTATAATCTAATAATTTAAAATGATTTTAAATGACCATATTATCTACGTAAAATATTTATCAACTTTATTTAGTACTAATTTTTTTAAATATCTCAAGTTCGTCATTTAAATTGTTTCAAAATATTCTATTTGCACCACCAAAATTCATTACAATTCGACAAATATTTGGATTCCAAGAAATACATTACAAGTAAATAATCATGCACAAGAACACCCATTTTCAGTAATGATTTTAATCCCCAATTTGGTCAAATTTATGTAAGAGTTGTTCACTTTCTTATCTAAGAATTATTTATTATCATCTATTTAAGGTTAGTTGTCAAACTAAAAATATCTTTATGAGAGTTGAAAAATGGTTGACAATGAGACAGAAGTGTTCATCATTTAAATTCATGTGATTGAGAAGTTGAAGAGAGGAGGAAAATTGGAGTGGAATCATTGTTATCTTGAAGCGGTGGAGTGGAGGGCAAGGGAGATGGAGAGTTTTTGTCAACCACAAGAAAGCTAAGAGAACAAACCAACCATGTCCATGGTAGATTATTGGCTTCAAAAGTAAAAGCTTAGAAGAAAAGAGCACTCTCATGTAATAAAGCCTCAAGTTTTGTTTCAGAAAGGTAAAGGGACCCTAAGATGATATTAATAATTTGTGCGTTATAAAAGGTAAAGAAAAGGGAGCCATGTGGAGATTGTAGAGGTTGATGTTTCCTCTTCGAAATGAAAATGAAAAATGAAAAAGAAAAAGAAGGGAAAGCCTTGGATTCTACGTTTCTTCTTAAAGTTTTTATGAGTGATCCATTTCAATTTCATTGCATGTTATGGGGCATGCCAAGGTTGAATATAGATATATTATCATGTACCATGATACCAATTCTCAAACTTCAACATCAATGTTCAATGTTGGTCATTCTCTCACGTGCCACATAATCATGTCTATTTGTTAGCATGTCGCTCTCATTTTTATATATATAATACCCATCTCCTCTTTACAACTTTTGATTTAGCCTATTTTTACTTTGACTTATTTTAGAAAAAATGGTTACTTATTTTTATCAATTTTAGAAAAGAAGTCGAGAAGAAAAGTTTTTTTTTTTCTCTAAAAAATTACTCTAAACATGCTTTCAATAGTTGGCTTACATCTTAGCAATTTCATTTCTTCCGTCACTCAAATGGTGAATATCAAAATCAAAGAAGTCGAGAAGAAATGGTTGTTTTTATTTATTTATTTATTTATTCTAAAATTACTGGTGACAGCTAAACGTATGAGTTCGGGTGGGTTGGAAAAACTGGGGTCACTGTTAGAAATTGAAACTGATCGAATTATAAAGCAAATAATAACAAAACATGGATGGGCTTTGTTACGATCGAAACTATTGCAGGTAGCATCAATTGTCTCGTGACGAAGGTTAGGTGGTACGAATCACAATTGAATCGTAGTGACTTGAGTCATTAAAGTAAAAAGAGTTAGCGCTCGATTAATGGCTATAACTTTTAGCGCTAGTGGTAAGCGCTCGATCCTAACAATTGGTATCGAGCCAAGGTCACGAGTTCGATTCTCGGTGGACAATTGTTGAGGGGAGATTGTTGCAGGTTGCACAATTGTCCTGCGGCGAGGCCGAGTGGGCCAAGTCACAATCCAAGAGTGGGATACCTTGTAGGACAATTGCTGAGGGGAGATTGTTGCGGGTAGCATCAATTGTCCTGCGCGACGAAGGTCGAGGTAGGCAGAAGTCATAATTGAATCGTGCGTCACAGCTTAGTGCATTAAAATAAAAAGAGTATCACTGGCTACGATTAATGCTGCTATAGATGGTAAGCGCTCGATCCTAACGAATGTGTCTACAAAGCTATTATTGGGAATAAAATAAGTAGGAAAGAAGGGTATTATTGTGTCAGAAAGAAAATGTGCATGCATGAGATGTCATAATGTGTCTGGAGGGTGTCGCAATGAAAGACAAAACCAAATTTGGAGATGCTATAATATAAATTGTTATTTTCAAAAAATAGTTAGAAAAATCTATCATTTTCATATGATTGACCTTTCAAAGAAAACCAATTCGGCTTTGGTAAATGCATAAGAATTAGAATTAATTTATAAAGTGGGCTAAGCCCAAGCGCATAGAAAAACAGCACATTTTTTTTTCCATTCTGTATTTTCTTCCTACATCTCATAAAAAAATATAAAATGTGTTACGTATTTTTAATTTTCCCGTGGTTCTTCTTTCTGAAGGTAGAGACATCAATTTTACACAAGTTTTATTTGGAGTTAAAATTAGGAAAAAGTGTTGTCTTGATTGAAAAAAAGTAAATGTAATTATCGTAATTAAAAGATTCTATGGTTTTGAGAGAAGGAAATGTAATTACCAACTGTCATAATTCGTAACCCAGGGCCAGGGTCTCGTAATTGCATCGACCATAATTTGTAATTCAAAGATCCCACTTCTGAATGAGACGACAAGTCAAGTTCTACAAGAGACACTTGAAAATATCCATAACATAAGGAATTGATGGATCAATGTATTCGAATACTTATTTGTTTTATCAATCAGATCCCTCAATCGCAAAAGTTTTTGGATTCACTAATTTGAAAGTTTATCAGATTCATCATTTTCGAACTTAAAAAATATTATTTTTATATATTCTGGATCTTTTAATCTAAAACTTAGAAAATATATTATTATTTTGAATTCATTTTTTAGAATTTTTTGAAATGAACGTTCTAAAATATTGACCTTTCCAAACTGTTTTTGGAAAGTTTCGTTTGACAAAATCTGAAACATATTTACATTAAAAACAATTTTTTTTATATAAATATGGGGTACTAGAAAAAATAATGGGAGTGCAGAAAGAAGAAGATGCTTAGAAGAACTACAATAATATAAGATAAGCGCCACAGAACTTTCTATGCCTCCATAATTTATCCAGAATTCATAATTAAATTAAATCTTATTTTATATTTATCTTCATTTTTATTTTTGAAATATATTTAGATTGAGTTTTTTAAAAATATATTTCCAAACATTCAATCTAAAATATATTTGTTAAAAATACTTTTGAAAAATAAATTTTGAAACACTAAATTTAAAATGTATTTCTAAAAAGATTTTTGTGAAAATACATTCTTTCTCAAAAATATATTTCAGAATAAATACATTTTTAAAATGTCTTTTTTAGAAATCAATCTAAAATTTATTTTTCTAAAAATACATAAAAAAATACTCAATATTAAATGTATTTTAACAAGTTAGAAACCCTAAACCTTATACATCTCGTTCATACGTAATGTTATCAAGTTAGAAAAAAATTCAATGGTGATAGCCCAAAAAGATCACATAATCAAATGATGAAGGTGATGGAGGTGTACACAAATAGAAGAAGAAGAAAGTTAGGGTAAAAAAAAATATTATGGGAAAAATATTTTAAATATTTCCCTTAGACATGGAGGTACAGAGCCAACAAAGATGAAAGAGGAAATAAAATTTGGGCCGAGCTCAAAATCGTATGACAACCAAAAAAGTTGTCGCTTCTCTTTCTCTTCTGTGAGTTTCTCGGAGTCTCAAACATGAAATCTGAATGAAACTCTGGTCCTGTAAACTTAAATTCAAATTCGTACAACCCTAACATTGTTTCTGCCTCTCTAAAAGCCCACACTTGCCATTGTGATTGTCCTTCACTTCATCTCTTGCTGAGTAAGTTTTTACATCGTTATATGATTTTGGAGTTGTTGCTTTTAATCGTGAATGATTGTTTTGGTTGCTATGTTGTCTCTAAGCTGTTCGTTATATTCGTGAATAGGTTAGGTTTTATTTGCGAATAAGTTGATTTACTGGTTTTGGTTCACCCGATCAAAGAATGTTGCTGTAATCTGATGCAACACTAATAGTTGGTTATCACATGACGAGTAATTGCATATTGATTAAATCATTCCATTGTGGAATTCAATTCAACCTGTTAATTTCTGATAGCAATTTGAGTATTATTTGTTGCTTAAGTCCGTATCGATGTAGTATAGGATGGATGGTTGGTTGAGTATTTAAGTGCTTGGTTCTCCTCCTTGATAGCTAGTTTTTAAGGCTGAGTTTCCAATTGCTTGGGTGTTTATCAGTTGGTACTTGTGCTGGTTGTTGGTGTTTCGGAAAGGATATTCTACGGAGGTTCTGATCAATGGATAGTTGAGTGAAGTGTATTGAAGTGTCCTAGGGTGAAAGTCATAGGTTTTGAGGGTGGATTTTCAAAGTACTTGGTGGCTTATCAATATTTTCTAAATATGTTTTAACTGTCTTTTTCAAATGTTGCTAGTATGAAAATTTTATATTCTTGATATAACTAACATTTAATACATGTATAAATTCTCTAAAAATGATAAAAACAATTCAAAACATTCATTACTAACAATAAAAAATCACTGCTGTCTTAACCAAAACTTATGAGTAAATAAATACCAACAAAAGTCAAGTATAAGTTTCCTAGACAGGAATCATCGCTCTTCTAAATACAAGTCTTCTTCAAAATTTTGACATGCTGTAAATTTCAGTTTTGGAAATTGAAATCCCAAAATTAGCCCCCTAAAAAAGGCCCTAACAGTTTTGTTCGAATGATATTTTAGGAATTAACACATAACACTGGCATCCCATCCATTACATCTGATATTCAGCTTGATATTTGATTCACTACACCAAACTACTTCGCTATACTGGTTTGGTTTCTAAGTTTAGTTATTTACTGATAATGATGAGATTTTTTTTTTTTTTTTACTAAAACGACTGCTGGTGTAAATACTTTTGAAGATAAAGATCCTATTTACATCTTTGAGAGCAATCAAGTAGGGTCGGCAGTGGTCTTCCTGTTTTAACTTTGAGGTCCAAAATTGAATCAGTAGGTGTACAATACGCCAAAGATGGTTTTTCTAGACAATCTTGACAGTGCATTGGTAATCATGGGTAAATGTCTCATCTCAGGATAGAGTGTCTTGTGTTGATATTCAAATAAATACAGATTCAAAATGCTGTAAAACACTGGGACATGGTGTGATCACCTAGGTTTTGCAGATCTATCAGCACATATTGGTCCTTGTGTTTCCTGATGTTTTCAAGTCTGCTGTTCTCATATCTCTCAACTATGAAATTTAATAAAATTCTATCTTCATCCTGAAATATTATTTATTAGGAGAGGATGCATATTTTCTGGTAGCTCTAAACATTTTTCCAGCAAATCATTGACTGACAGTCCTAATTACGTATCAATTAATACTGTTACATTTTTTCTTTTGCAACATTTATTTGGGGATAAATAAAATTTCCATCTCTTTATTTGTTATTTTGTTTTTGTGTATCCTCTGCAGATTTTGAGAAGATTAATTTTCGATGGCAATAATCCGTCACAGCTTCTACCGTCAGGTTTCTGATTTCATTATTTTCTTTCTAGTTTTTCTATGTAATCAATCCGATATAGCTTTGAAGTGTGTTTAATAGAACATATGATTTGCGGTGGAAAAATACAGAGTTGATTGACAGGTGCATAGGTTCAAAAATATGGGTGATAATGAAAGGGGACAAGGAACTTGTCGGTACTCTTAGAGGCTTTGATGTTTATGTCAACATGGTTCTTGAAGATGTAACTGAATAGTAAGATCTGCACTGTTTCCTGTTATTTTTCTTTTTGTTGGATTTGGATTTTGTGTATGTCTGTTTGTTTCTCTGTTATTTGAGGAGCTTTGCAGCATTTCTGATTATCAACTTGACTGTTTGAATTTGTACTTAACAGAGGACTTGGTTACCATGGCTTTTGCGTCTTCATGATTTGTATTAGCTTTTGATTGTCTGATTCATATGTTCATGTATGAACATGGGTATTGTATGCCTTGGGTACGTAATAAATTGATTGTCTAGCTACTTTTATATTCATACAACAGTGAGATCACTGCTGAAGGGAGACGGATAACCAAGCTTGATCAGATTTTACTCAATGGAAACAACATTGCCATTGTAAGTCAATATTCAATTATTTTCTATTTATCTGAAATAAAAATAATAATTTCATAATGCAACTTTAGCAAGTGCTGGCAATAATCTAACATGATTTTCAGTTGTTCCCCGTAAGTGTTACACAGGTACTAACAATTACCTGGTTTAATGCAGTTGGTCCCCGTGGTTCACCCGAGCCAGAATAAATAGTGCTTACTTAGTTACCAATATTAACTCTCCGATTCTCGGCACATTAATCCTGTTGTAATTTATCGAGGATTCGGAGACCACTAGGTTTTTACTTAAGTTTGTTTCTATTCTACATGGTTGTAAGTGTAATATCTCTTTAACAACATCAACTTTTGTCATCCATCATGTCGTGGATTGCCCAGTGTACAATTAATGCCTGCTGATTATGACACAGTTGTGCACCTTTATGTTCCTGTTCCTATTCCCCCGTTTTTATCAGCTTCCATTCTCTGTATGAAGTGATTGAGTCAATTGGTCTCCTTTTTGATTGATCAGTAGGTTTTAATATTTTTTTTCCAGAGGAACTGAACACGTGTCAGAGAGTTTACAATAACGCATCAGGTTTTAATCTTTCATTGTAATAGGAAGTGAAAAATTTATTCTCAATCATGGACAAAATAGTGATCTTTTTGGTGCCATAGGTGGTTTATTGGACTTTATTTATAAATAAATAATAGGTAGGTTTTTTTAATATAAAAAATAGGATATAAGTATTTGTTTTAAACTTGTCATCTATTTATATGTAAAGATGTTAATTTACTTCAATCAAATGTGGCTAACTTTTTTTCTGCGAAAAAGTTATATCTTAACATTTTTATGAAACTGTGTCTTCCTTCATTCTTCTCAAATCCATCACAAAAAAACTATATTGAAACTAAAATATATTTTAATTGCATATTTTACAATTCGATTATATTTTCATGCTTTTTACCATCAAAGTTTTCATTTTTTTTATAAATTTGACTTGTGGAAAAAAAAAAAACATCATTTGTTACTAATTTTTCGTAAAATCGTTTTTACCTTGTTTTATTTAAGAAAACATGACACATCTTCATGTTGTTAGAAATTTAAAGTTTCAATAACTTTTGTGAGGTTTACAAATTGTTAGTAAAATAAGCAATACAAATTGGACAGTAAATTTTTTAAAATAATAATAACTAAGTGATAAAATACGCAATTAAACTTAAAATATTACACTAAAAATCAAGCTACCTATTTACTAAAAATTGTACATATATATATATATATACATATATATATATATACATATATATATATATATATATATATATATATGTATATATATGTATACATATATATATGTATGTATATATATATATATATATATATATATATATATATATATATATATATATGTATATTTTTATCGTATTAAGGATGCAGCAAAAAGAAAGATGTTAGAGTCCCAGCATGAGCATGGTTTATGATGGGCTTTGGGGTGATAAAAATATGATAATAAAGAATTGAAATGAAATGCATGGTGATGATAATGGAGCCACGTGTAAGATGGGACAATGACTATGTGGTCGTTACTGCCACTAGTTTTGGTTGGATGATGTTGTTGGGAGTTTCATTGCCTCACTTCTCATTCTTAACTATTCCCTTTCATTTCATTTCCGATACCAGAAAACTGATCAAAATATAAACACAAAAATTGAATTGAACTGAATTGAAGTGAAGGGAGTGAGAGATGACACTGTCTCCTTCTCTTTCTCTCCCTAACTTCCATTCTTCCTTTCTTTGTTGCCCTCTAAAATCCAAGCCATTTGCTACAAGTTCAATTCAACCAAAACCCACTTCTTATCCACGCATTAGAGCTTTGGACCTTGATCAAAACACGGTTCCTCCTTCTACTTCAGTCATTATTTATCTCTATAACTAAACAAACACAGTCTTAATTTATTTTTTCTTGTTTTTAAATTATTTGTTTCGTTCAGGTAGTGGCTATAAGTGTTGGTCTTGTGAGTGTGGCTGTTGGGATTGGCATTCCAGTGTTCTATGAAACCCAAATCGATAATGCTGTGAAGTGTTTTTACTTAGCACTCTACCATTTTATATGTTTTATTTTTCATCTAATGTTTTGGGTTTTGATCACAGCTTCTCTTTGTTCCAGGCTAAGAGAGAAAACACGCAGCCCTGTTTCCCGTGTACTGGATCTGGTGCTCGTAAGTTTTATTATCTTTTATTTTTCTCTTCATCATACTTCACACTTGATGCTAGGGAACATTTTCTGTGTGAAGCGTTATTCAACCAATAAGTTTAATTTCTCAATTACGCAGAAATTATTATAGTACGACTTTTTAAAGATAATTGTGATAAAAATTAATAAACTTACCGGTTCATGACAGTTCAAATTCCTTCCTTTATCAGAGTGCATACACTGTTTACTCAATCCTAATTGTGGAATAAGGATGTGTTTGACTAGTTAACTTAATTAAGGGTTTATTCATCAAGTACTTATCCACATAAAAGGTTATGTCAAGATTCTGATCATGCTCCCCAATCCAATGTCTCTGTGATTGAGATGCCTCAGTTCTCTCTTTGAATGTTCCCAGCTCCTGCCAATTAAATTGCTAACACAGGACAACACTATTTTCCATGTAATCAATCAGTGTTTATTCCAATGAGACAAAATATCATTCTTTCGCCTCATTTCCGAATATAACATGGGGTATGTTCGGATAAATTTTCTATTATCACTTTTAAGAAAAGAAAATAACTAAAATGAACTTAAGTATTAGTTTTAAATTATATCTTTTAGAGAAAAACTAACCTAAGAGTTGTGTTTATGAGGAAGTTTATCCAAACTAGTGGTTGTAAATGTAATGAGCTCAACTCCACCACATAGTGAAAGTATACATGGTTATACAGCTGCTGTCTAGATAATAATTATCTCCTTGAGGTATATGTCTTTTTGTCCAATGGTTTGAAAATTAGCTCTAGCATGTACTTTATCTTCCCCATGAGTGGAAAAGGGAAACAATTTAACTATGCTGAAATAATGAGAATAGAGAGAAACAATTATTTTTTACAATTTGACTGTCTCTTCTCAACACTACAGCAAGCCAGGGATATGGTCTTTCATAGATTTAGCAGTTTAAACTTCTTTTTTTCCTCTAAAATTGAGAATTCAATTGTTGGTAGTTTTTTGACCAATCTTGTTTGAATTGTTACCATCTGGCCAGAGAAATGCAGATTTTGCTTGGGATCTGGCAATGTGACAGTTGAACTTGGTGGGGGTGAGAAGGAGGTCTCTAGATGTATAAATTGTGGTGGTGTTGGTTCCCTCACATGCACAACTTGTCAAGGATCTGGAATTCAACCTCGTTACCTTGACCGCAGGTATGGAATTCTGCAGCCTCATTCCCCTTCCTTTGTAATTTACCAACAACAGCAAAAACCTCGTACCATGAGTTGAGATCAGCTACATGAATCATACAATGTCATTTGTCTAGGCTAAATACCATATCTTTACTGATATTATTTACTATGAGATTCCTCTTAACAACTCCTCCTATTGTCCTTTCTGGTGTCCTTCTCCACCATTTTCACATAATTTAAAATCAAGCAATCTCCTATCCTCTTTGGTGCTTCCACTAACCTCCTTTGTACTTATTTTTACATCTTTTTCTCAACTTGTATTAGGCCAACATCTCCTTGTATAAAATCATTTTTGTATCATATCTTTTTTGTATGGTCATACATTCATTTTAATATTCTCATTTATGCTACTCCTACCATTTTCCCTTGTCCTTTTAAAGTTCAAATTTTATTACCATAACTGTCGCATGAAATTATATTTGAGTTTAGTAGATAGTTTGTGATCATAAATAATCTCAGATATCTTTTTCCAATTTTAGCCATCCACTTGTATCATATGTTTGACAACATAATTAATTTGTCATCATTTTGGACTATTCATGTGATGTTACATCTCTCATCTTTACTTTGAAGTCATTTCATCTTACCTTTTGCTAAAATTGCAGTACATATACCCATCTTCCTCCAGCTTAAAAGCTCTGTTTCCAGAAGAATGTCCCCAAAACTCTACCTTAAAATTACCTATTGAACTAATTTAGTCATTATGCATACTATGGAAATTTTGTCAACCACCGCTCATTCTGCAACAACAATAATAAGGAACTATTCAGCATGTAAGAGGGTAAAAGGATATATGGTTTTGAGATACCTTAAATTATTCTTTATAATAAACTTGAACATTGCTTTGGTTTGGTTTGGTTTGGGTTTCTTCTAGTAAAACTACTAATCACTTCTGCCAATAAACTGATGATAATATTTGTGGAAGAGTGTTCAAGTCTCCTGAATTGTACTGTTGACTACTGTTTTGTGCTTCATATTAATCAGAGAATTCAAAGATGATGACTGAGGCAAACTATGAATAAATGGCGCTGATTTTGGATCTGATATGAGGTTACTGTAAGTTCTTTGATGAGTCACATCTAATTCAACTGTCAAAATCAGAATCATGTTCATCCTTTCATTTGGTTTACATTTTAATCGGTGATATGATATTATTAGGCTACTCACTTTTGTTGCCTATGTGTGTGTGTACCTTCAATTTAGAGGTCGGTGTTATTCTTTTATCATCTTCTAATTTAATCCAAACATTGTACATCAACACATTCTATCAAATTTTCTTTATTTCAATTTCTTTCATTGTGATGTTTTTAGCATCTTTAAAACTTTAAAATTATATTTTTAAAGGCATTTTAAGATGCATGCATGGTTTGGATTATGCATGTTATATCTATTTGCTAGAACAATGTTGCTGTATTAATTATTAATTAATTTATAAAATCAAGTAATTAGTTCACAAGTCATAATCAAATCTATTCCAGCAAATCGATAATTTCATTTTACAATTAAATTAATTTATTTAAATAAATCAATAATTTTATTTAAATAAGATTATATTAACTGTGATTTGTAAACTTTGTTGGTTACGCAATTTCACAAATGTTTCAGCACAAGTAATGGTTCACTTGAAAAAAAGAAGAAGAAGGAACTATCAGTTGTAATAGCTTCTAACATTCAAACTTTACTACTTTCCAATTGTTTAATTGTCAAGTTTTTTGTATTACTCCATTTGATAAAGAAAACTTATTTTATAATCTGCTGAAAATTTGTGTAAAAACTTATTCTGCGTTATACTAAGCAATATCTCTATTAAAAATGTGAAGTGTTTTAAAAAAAATGTTTCTTTTATTAAAAAGATTAGTGTGAATAAAATTCAAGCGTTTTATCAATGAAATGTACAAAGAAATTCAATGAAATTAAACTAATTTTTTTATTAAAGCTTGAAGGAGTTCAACTTATCATACACTAATATATTTACGTGTATAAAAAATTGGGAATTATTAAAGAATTAAATAAATATTATTATTTTTAGTAAGACTTGTTAGTATAAATTTATCATGAAGTACAAAAAATTAAATGGCAAGTAAATGAATGCATATTTAATTTTTAAGATCTCTCTCTATTAATAAAATGATAATTTCACATTTTATAAAAAAAATTATTATATTTGTTATTATAACTATTTGATTGATTTTTTAAATAATAAAAATATGGAAGATAAATTTAAAAGACAATTCAAAAGGTAAAGAAAAAGAACTTGAAATAATGAATATATATTAAAAAAATATATTTAAATGTTTTGATCTATAATCTGATTTTATTCCCTGTAAAATATTTCTATTTTTAGTCTCTCTAAAATTTAAAATCATTGCTTTTAATCTTATATAATATATGGATTTTTATTTTAATTCCTTTAAAATATTTTTTTTGTTTTGTTTTACATCATTCCAAAATTTGATTACTAGACCTGGTGCATTTTCTTGGCTTTTGATTCCCTCACACTATTGAACATAAAAAAAAATGAATTATGTCACTACCTCTGTAATTTCAAATTAAATATTTCCGAAAGAAAATTTGTTCAGTATGATCGGAACGCTTACACATTTATAAATCGCGAATATTGTATAAAATAGTTTCCAAAATGGATTGAATTCTGAAAATAATATAATTTTAACTGAGTTCTTCTTGTCATTCTAAAAACTGTATGACCAAATATGTAACTAGATTTGTTCACACCCCACAAAATACAGCATGCTTAGTAAGCATTTGATGATTTGAATCACACTAATATGCATACGGCACAATAACAAATCCATCTAGAATAATGGTATTTGCTCATTTTCATCAAACACTAGTTTACATGAAGTTAACAGGTAACCAAGCTGCATATTAGACTGTTCACAAAAGTCATATTTGAAGAAGTAACTATAAAATCCAGATGAAAAAGCACTTGGATAAAAAACTACGGCAGGTTGTAAAAGTTAAAACTCAAAGGGATTACTTACAGTCAAACAAAAAGGAGGGTATAATAGACTATGCATTTGTGACTATAAAACTATTCTGATGACTTAAATCTATTCTAATGGAAGGGACTTTTACTGCACTTTCCTTGTAACCATGTCAACCTTATCTTGACACTTTTTAAGGAAATGAATGTCTCCCTTAAGCTAGGGTTCTCAAAGAGGTCCAGGGCAGAAAAGTAGAGCTGTTGATCAATGCCTTCTATCTCATCCAGAGCCTTGATGCAGTTTGTTATTGAGAACTTGTCATCACTTACATTTGAAACAACTGCCCTTAATCTTGAAACAGCAACCATATCTAACAAGGCTTCTGCCATTGCATTGCAGGTGTCTTGATCCAGACTAGAAGTTTGTGTGTCGTAGGACCGTTTCCGTTTCCTATCTAGAGAATTCTTGGTTACCTTCTCAGCAGTTGAGATATTCCCTGGAGCAGACTTTGATGTTGAGGGGTTTTCATAATGTGAGACCTTAGCTTCTAGACATGGAGTAAAGCCAGCTGCATCGGTTGCAATAGATTTGTCCAACTCTTCATAATGACTAGATTGGGCATATTTCCCATCAGCTGCTGAATCTATGAATATTGTGCATAGTTGCTCATATATTGGACAATCTTTCACTTTGACTGTTTCGTGCCTAGGCTGTGCCTGCATACAGAAACTAGCACCATTAAGGTTAAAAATAAATAAAGAAAGAAAAACATCTATATGATGAGAGGAACTTACCCCTATATCATCCCACTGCTCAAAGCCAATGCAACAGGAATCATCCATTAAAAAATCATTATTTTGATCATAAGCGGATTTCAAATTGTAGAAGCGGGTCCGAAGAACATCTAAATGCTTCCTCAATTGATTATTATTGAAATTAAGGTCTGTTTTCCTATTGAACTCATCACGAATGTGATTCCATGTTTTCTTGTCAAAAACATTGTTTGGTCTATTCCCCAGTTGAATCTGCTTAACAACCAAGTCTGCAAAAATCTTGTCAAGGGATGCTGTCCATCTTGTCCTTGATCGCTCTTGCTTGGGTTGATTGCTGACCTCAAGTTCCATCCGCACCTGCACAAATGCTTATCATTCAATAATTTACTCTTTAACATTCTCATAAATGCACCTCTTGCACTGATCCCACTAAAATTTAAGAAAAAGTTAAAAGACCTCTTAACTTTGAAGCTTATACTTAACTTCGTTCACTACATTACTTGTTTAAATGGATGACATTATTTTAGTTAGAAGTGATACGACTGAAATTAATCATGTTAAACATATTTTAGACACCAAATTTTATCTGGTGTTCACATGAATAAGTATGTTCTTGAACTTCTAGAAAACTAGTTTAATTGGTTCTAAACTTGCTAAAACTCCTTTTGATCCTTCTGTAAAACTTCAAGCCAGCCATGGTCAACCTTTTCCCAATGCAGCTGGTTATAGGCTGTTAGTTGGCAGACTTTTGTATCTCACCATTACTAGGCTAGACATTGCCTATTCTGTACAACAATTAAGTCAATTTATATCCAAACTGCTTGATACTCATCATAGAGTTGCTCTCCGAGTTCTTTGTTACCAAAACGATCACCTGCTCAAGACTTATTTTTCTCCTCTTCTTCTGATCTTCGCTTGTCAGCCTTTGCTGATTCAAATTGGGCCTGATGCTTAGACACCCGCAAATCCATTATTGGTTTCTGTGTCTTTCTTGGTACTTCCTCAATCTCTTGAAAATCAAAGAAGCAAACTAAGTTAAATATAGGGCTTTGGCCAGTCTCACTTGGAAAATTCAATGGTTGCATTATCTCCTTAGAAATCTTCATGTTTTGTTGGCTTCCACTGCTATAAATTGTGACAACCAATCCACTGTACACTTACTTGGCTCATAATCAGATATTCCATGAAAAGATAAAACATATCGAAATTAACTATCATGTGATTCATGAGAAAATTCAACAAGGACTAATTCACTTACTTGCCGCTTCTTCCTCCTCTCAACTAGCATATGCTTTCACCAAACTTGTTCATCACACTTCCTTTAACAATTTTATTACCAAGTTAGGCTTTTGTGATCTCGATCGGCTAACTTGAGGGGGGTTTTACCATATATTTTTTTACAGTTTCTTTAAACTACAGTTTTATTGGTTGTTATGGTTGTTGTTAAGCTTTGTTCAATTTCGTTCGGGTTGCTAAACAATTGTACTGCAGAGCTCCTTTTCAAGCTCTTTTTTCTTTCTGTAAACATAACTTTTCATTCTTCCAATAATATGAGAATTCTTTCAGTTACTGGACATTAAGACTTATTACACACATCAACAATTTCAATCATACAAAAGTGTCACATTATCCAACAGGGCATCATGACAGAAGAGGTGCTGAAAAAACAAAGAAAAAAAAAAGTTTACTCCAAACAGCATAACAAAATAACATTCAACCAACTGAATGAATAACAACGGTTGCATTGCCATAATAATTCATGTATTTCAAAACATTATAAAATTCAAAGCCAAAAATTCTCCAATTCTACCCTCATAAAAATTGCAACATGACAATATCCTAAAGACTATCCCTAATCCCTATTTTTCTTCACAAAACTACAATTCCTTTCAGTTCTTTCCAAACTTAAACAATAGTAACTGCAGTGTTCTAAGAACAACAATAATCTTGAGTTGTCGTACATAGATAATGCTCATTAGTCATTGCAATACCTAACCGTGGAATGTACAGCAAAATGAACAGTCGAAAACAGGTGAATCGAAGAACTAGGTCGAAGCAATGCGAAGTAAATTAAAGACCAGAATATCAAAATTCCTCAACACTAGCACAGGTAACAAAATCGTCTAATGCACTAAACCGTTTAATTTAATCTGGTTTGTTTTACACATCGAAAATCAACAATAAACTAACATTTAAAATGAAGATGAAAAAGAAATACCTAGAGCTGAGTGTTTTGCGGTGTAGAAAGCCAAAAGGAAAGAGAAAGAAGGGAAAGAATAGTGTGAATCCGAAAGGAGAGGAGTAGAGGTAAATCTGGCGATGGAGGATGAAAGAGATCGACGACGGCTCTGGCAACTGCCACCGCGAACCGTTACGTTGTCAGCAAGAGGTGTTGGAGAAAAAACTGCGAATAAAAAATAAATTAAAAGGAAAGGGGAAAATTAGATTCGAAAATTGGAACGATAATAGATTGGAGAGAGAATATATTTTGGGATTAAATATTTTATTTTTCAATTATAACACGTAAAATCGGGTTTCTGTATTTTAAATTTTAATAAATTAGTCTTTTAATATAAAATATATTTTTTATCGATTTTATAATAATAAAAATATTATCAAATATTAATTTAGATTTTAAAATATTAAAATCAATTGAATTCTTTATTACATATTTAAGAAATTATTTATTAAAATATTTAAATAAAATATTAATTATTTAAAATAATTTTATTGAAAAATAGGAGATATGACAAGTTATTCAAATAATTAATTTATAAAAATAAATAATAAAAAATATGTGATATAATAAATCTATATTAAAATAATTCACTTGTAATTCTCACTTTAGATTACTTCTAGCCTTACATAGGTCGGGAAAGTTACACTTTAGTAGGTCCGATTAAACAAAAATCTAAATTTCAATTATTTATCTTTCATAGACAATTTTCATAAGTCTAATTTAAAAAAAATCTAAAATTGACTTATTTATCTTTCATAGAAATTTTTTTAAAAGTATGGAGTGACCAGCATGAGACTGTGGTATGAACAAGGCATTAGTATTGTTAAAAGATATTTAAAAGGATAATGAAAATATCTCATGTAAATAATTATATTATATACTTTAAATGTAAGAATGATTATGTTTACAATAGTGTTTAATTATAATTTAAGTTTAAATTATTTAAGAGTATGTTTAGATTTTTTTTCTTTTTAATTTAGAAAATTTTTATGCTACGAGTGAATACTTTTAATATTATTTTAAATTGCAATTTTATTAAATATATGTTCTCAAAATTCAAGTAGTGCAGAATAAGTATTTTTTTACACTAATAACTAATGAATATATTATAATATATTTATGAATTTCTTATTATTGAAGAATTAAGACTAAGAGTAATATATATATATATATATATATATATATATATATATATATATATATATATATATATATTACTCAATTCATCCAAATGATTTTTAAGAATAAAATTTTAAAAGAGATAATAACTCAAACATAATAATAGATTTTAATATATAAAACAAAAATATTTTTATTTCTAGATAAAACATTAATACATATAATAGAATCGAAGATAAAGTATCGTTTCACTTATACATTAAACATGATAATGGATTGTAAGAATAATATTATAACGGATATTAAATTGAAATAAATTGAAATAGTATTGTTATTGAAGAGAACCTAACAAAATAATCTCATTTATTATTTTAACAATTACATAAAATCTTATTTATAAATTATAATAAAAAAAGATCACAAATAAAAAAAAGATAAAAAGAAAATATATAAATAAATACATATTGCTTAAGTAAATTTATTATATTTACTATAAAATATATAAAAATAATTATATTAAATAATATATAAATATATGTATTAATAAGAGTATTGTAATTTTATTAATGTTATGAAAATATCGTTAAAAATGTTTTAAAATTCTAACTTATCATAATTTTATTTTTTAAAATTTTTTTATATATGAATATTATATGTTTTGAATTTATTATTATTTTATTTTATTTTAAAAAATCTTAATAATAAATTTTAAAAATAATATATATAAATTATTATTTATCTCAATTCTTAAATAATATAAAACTTATAAATTAATATAAAAATAAAATTTAAGACAAATTACAGTTTGACAATTAATTAAAATAATAAAAAAATATAGTAAAAGATGAAAAATAAAGACGTTGAAATATTTTATTTCGCTCCTTCTCGATTTTACAAAATATATTTTCTTTTTCTCATTGCAACTTGTCAATAAATCAAACAAATCAATTATCATATGGTATTTACATGACATAAATTAAATCGCTTTACTTCTGCTTGTCTTTAGTCTACCATTTCTACTTTCTTCAGTTTTATTATTTAAACGAAAAATTGATTTAAAGTAACCACATCAATCTATTTATTAGAACATTTGAGAAATATTCAGAAACTATATAATGTTTACATACTTTTATACCAAGAAATATAACTAATTTTTAACAAAAATTTTAACCTAATTGCTAGCAGTTACTTAAGACTTGAATTACATCTAATTTTAACACTTTCCCTTAAGTCAAGTACTTAAGAGATGCAATACCAATATTCCTCTTCATATCTTCAAACTTTTCATTTCTCACTGTTTTAGTAAACACATCCGCAAGTTGTAACTCAGTTTTACAATACACCACTTTGAGCTTTTCCTTATATACCAAGTCTCGAATAAATGAAACCTCACTTTTATTGTTGAACATTCAAGGACTTGATGTTGAACTTACATGGACATGAAGCTTATTGATTTTGATGATGATTCAAGAACACAAGACTTAGAGAGTTGAAGACTTGGTTTATAGTGTAATAACTCTGTTTTGATTAGATTGAGTCTGTAATATTAGAGTTTAAGATAGTCGGTACATAATCTGCACTTTAGAAGCTTCAAAAACTCAATTTTATCAAAGTGCCTCGGCTTTAATCGATTAAATGGTGAAATAATCGATTAAAACAGTGAGAAAACCATTTTTTGTATCTGCTCACTGGTTTAATCGATTAACACACCTGTTAATCGATTAACAGGTCTTTTAATCGATTAAAACAGAGAGTTTTGGGGTTCTGTTGATTTTGGCTATGTAATAATCGATTAACACCTCATTTAATCGATTATTTCAGTCAGATTTTGATTTTCACTTCAAATCAACCCTATTTTCGAAAATCCTAATCCCAAGACTCCTAGTTCCGAAAATCCCAATTCCCAAACCCTAATTTCTCTACTTAAGCTTCTCTATGGCACTCAGAAAAAAAAGAACAACCTTTTTCATACAAAAGTTAAGTGCTGTGAGTG